TCCCTACACACAGCTCTTGAATGCAGTCCCGCAGGCACAGTGTTTCACACAAAGTCAGTCTTTCCACCAAAGACAAACCTCTCTCACTGTGGATGAGAACAAAAGCCTCCCGCACACACAAACCCACAACCACACATCCAGAGAGCGGCACGAACTGCTCTTACAGCCTATACGGTTTATATGAGAGAGGCAGACAGGAAAACAGGCAATTATACAAAAGAATTTATTCCAAAAGTTGCAATAAAAATGTTTCAAATTTTTAAAAAATGCACGTTATGAACATTTGGCAAGATAATACATTCAAAGTCTCAGGTTAGCGGGCTCCACGGCGGCAGGTTGGCTGCTCGCGGGCTGTGGGACAGGCAGCGCAACCCCCCGTTCAGATTCACAGCTGCAGGGCTGCCTTCACCCTCAGCTGATGCTCTTCTCCCATTTAGGACAAGCTTGCTCACTCTCCTCCACTTACAAGAATCCAAGAAGGGACCCAAACCTAAGCACAGCTCTTAGTGACTGCAGTGGGCATTCAGACAAATCAATTTTTAGGCATCCAGAGTATGTGCAACTACAGTTTAAGTTAATGGAAGAGAAGTATTTAAGCCTACCCTTAATGTCATGTTAGAGAGGAAAATTTTGCTGGCTTATTTAGGCACTTAACTTCCAGAGCACCTTCTGAACCAAGCGGTTTTGCTGAAAAGCATTTTCACCATCCTGACAGTCTGTGACCTTAGGTGTATGTAAGAAAAACAAAAGGATTTTAATAAACAGAAGCCCACATCTTTATCAAATGTGAGCTACTCATACACTAAGTACGGAGTGTAGTTGAACACTGAAGTTTCTTTTAACCTACTTCCAAAACCAGAATAAACATGAAAAGAAATTTAGAGACTATTCTGAGGTCCTGCATATGGTCTGTCTCCACAAAAGGAGACCACAGTTTAGGAATGTTACCTGTGCTGGAATTTGAATGGAAAGACATGGCTATAGCACTGTACAAAAGCCAAAATAATTTAAGCCTTAAATACAAACTTACCCTTTGATATACTGAAAATATCTCGTCCCTTTAAAGTGTAGTACTGCAGAACACAACCGTAGACATTTCTGAGTAAGTTTGTCTTTGCCTGGTAATTTTAAAGTGATTATAAGCCAACTTCATAAAACATAGATTACAACTCAAGAGTAGAGTATGAGAGGAATACAGTTACACTGTGTCAAGAAATGAGAACCTTCCCATGCTGAAACAGTTTAAAATGTATTTGACTACATGTGAAATGTAAACCTGTCCATGCTCTGAGGAGTCGGTATCTGAAGTGCAACGTGTCCCGGAGTCCTCCAGGGACGGACACGTTCTTGCTACAGGACTCCTCTACTTGCCTGCCGAGACAAAACACACAAGCTTTGCTCCTTAAGAGCAGTGACATCTTACAGCTCCCGTGATGTCGTTACAGCAGTTTACATTCCTTTTCCAGTACTAATGAGAGTTTATATTTAAAGTGCATCTCAAATCAGCGATCTCTAACGAATATACAAGAATAATATGCTAAGACCTGTGGAAATGTATTTGCCCACTCAAATCACCATGACACCCATTACCAGTAGGACCAAGGACAATTAAGAGACTTCTTGCAAACAGGCATGACTACAGATTTGGTTGGTTTTGGTTTTGGGCAAATGGAGCTGCACGCACGTACACAGAGGGCAGAATTTATCCTACAGAGAAATATCTGATTTTGTGAGTTTAATTTTTTTGGGAAGTAACCTTAAGTTTTCAGTTCAGAAAATTATTTTTCAATACTCAATGCTTTTCCTAAGCATCTTTCCAAATTCATCCATTCCAGAAACATGAAGAAAAGCAGATTTGTTGGTTTCTGCGGGAAGAGAGAAACGCCCACTTGTTCTATAACTGCAGCTTAAATATCTGCAACTACACGTGAAATCTTAAATACACTGGTTTTTAAAAAAACAACCCTTTGCTGGTATAACACCATGATCTTTTGAAAAAAGGTTCCTAAAGAATGTAAAATCAAACAGCTCCAGAGTCACCCAAGTACAAAAATAAAATACTCCTTAGAAACAGTAAATAGCATGGATTGTTTCCTCTGATTTTGCTCGTTAACAGTTTGAAAACATTTTTTAACCTTTGTAAGACATGACAAAGTTTTGGTACCGTCTGGATGAACAGACGAAAGTCACTGTGTTCACTGTGGCTGAAGAGAACGGGATCTTAAAGGCAAAAAGCAATTGTCACTTGAACTAGTGCACGGCTCCTGCTGCTCCGACTGCAGCTCTGGGGGGAGCGGCGGTGCACCGGGGTCTCCAGGCCCTGGAAGGGTGGCTGAGAAAACAGCAGACTCTGCATTTCCCATCTCTGCAATTGGTAAATTCATCGAATGAAGAGAGACAGCAGACACAAACGCGGCAGTGCTATAATCTTCTTCTGGATGATGTATCGGGGTAGATTCTTTGTCTTTCGTTTTATCAAAGAAATTGGAATCGTTTGAATTTGATCTAGAAAGATCATTTGTTCCTCCATACAGTGAGGTCATACAGGTGCTGCAGCTCAGACCTAAGACAAAAAAACCCAAGAGACTTAATTACAATACGGTGCACTCTTTACACTGTGCTCTAACTTAGTATCAGGAAGACTGTCAAAGATCAACTGCCTCTGTTTTTACCAGGCTAACCTCCTCATCTCACCCGTGACATTCCAACATTCACGACAAATTCAAAAACACGTGCAGGTTATCTAGGCTGACCTGAATGATTCCTCTGCATCTTCAAACTTGACGAAGCTTCAGCTACATGTTTCTACTCTAAAGTGGACTGCATTTGAAGGCTGTTTTGCCTGAAGCCAGAGAAAACTTCAGGCCTTTCAGCTCTAGGGTTAAAATCTACTTCTTCTTCCTTCTTTTTTTCTCCTTTGATGGGTGTGGAAGGGGAAGTAAGGTTTTTGGTTTAGGAGGCTTATACTTTCTTTATCAGCCTTAAAATATGAGTACATACAGTCACTACAAGCTTTCTGTGTCAACAAAACCTCTCTGCCTGTATGAAACAACACATGGATACATTTACAGTGTAAAGTTCTGGCACTGAAGGCACACAGAAGAATTCCTCTCAGGTTGCATTTGCTGGCTTATCTTCTGCTGCGGTGCAAAGTTTAACAAAACCAGAGCATCCTGCCACTGCAGTAAATAGCTTCAAGAGAAACGCAAGATGGGAGATAACCACCAACTTCGAGGTCTGAATGAGAACCTCACAGAAAGCAAAACTGAACTGTGAAGACAGACTTATCCACCATAGCAACACACAACAGGGGTTTTGCAGTGTGTTATTTATTATGTGTTCAGACAGTAAAAAGGCAAAGCCAGGATATATGCGCTAGGTTCTTAAACCCAAACTGGTGATAATTCCAAAGTGTTGTCCCAAACAGTAGAGGAAGAAAAAAACAGTCTGTACTAAGAAATATGATTTAAAGAATTCTTGGAGTTTCATTCTGCAGACCCTCAAAAATAAAACTTATGTCTTACAAAATGTTACTATAAACTTCTCACCTTTGAGAGCTTCAAGTTTTTCATTTTTGACTTTCAACACCACGTCAGTTATCTTTTGTAACAGGAAGTTTTGTGTTCTTTCTCGTCTGATAGATTCAATCAAAGTGTCTAGTCCCTTTGGGTTCTCTGCTAAGTAGTCCAGTAACTTCCCAGTTTTTTTCCTACTGGAAGATCGAGAAGAAATTTCTTCTGTGTCCTCTCTAGTGAGTATTTTCTTTGAACGCAGGTAATCAAAGTGTCTCTCGGCTATGATTTTATCACACAGGTAAGGACGCATCCTCTCTAAAGCCTGGAAAACAAAACACACTGGTATTAGACAATTTTTCAGTTTATTTGTATTTGAAACCTGTATGATTTCAATACATGTTAATGGAACAATTTTTAAAGTTGCCATCATGTTACCTAGCAGAGATCTGTAAAAGAGGTATTACTTGTTTAAAAACGTTATCTAATTTACTTATCCCTTTCACTAGTTCTCTCTGAGTAAACTCAGGAGTTTTAATTCATGTTAAGTAATAAGGTGAATACTTACTGAAAATGTTAGTTACATCAAGTCAGAACGTTCACCAAGTAAAAATGAAAAGAAATTATACCAACAACACACAGCAGCACCTACTCAGACACACTCATTCTCATCGACTACGCAACTGCCACATTTCCATGCTCTTTGTATCCATGAGGCATAACACCAAAATACTGCAGTTATTGATGTTTTCTGTACAGTGAGTAAAAGCAGTCTCAGAGCAACAGCATGAATATACTCACTGTGCAAAAGGTTTGCTAAATAAGAACCACTATTTACAAGGTCAACAGATTACTGGCATCCAGAATACCCACACTCTCATCCACAGCTGTACCTACTCTCAGCAACATCACTGGCTGCTTTTTGTCTTCACCAAGCTGCCTTCTTTTGGCTTACGATTTTGCATTAGATACCTGAAGCAACTTGCACACCTCTAACGTGCTGCACACACGACTGAGCGTCAGTGGGCTCCGGTGACTCTGGCAAAGCAAAGTGACTCCACCCTCTGCAGCTTAACTTCGCTTTACAGGTGTAAACCGGTTGTTTAGGCCCTCTCCATAACTGGCAAAAAGGAGGTGGTGGACCAATCTGCCCATGGCAGGGGACTCCCTCCATCCCCTAAATACTCTATCATGCAGCCAGTTAGCATCGGGTACAATGAAGCAGAGACTTGAGCACTTCGGCAGTTGTGCCACTTTGCATCACATTCCCTCAGAGATCTTCTTCCTGGGGAAACGTGCTAGCTTTTGTAACCAGATTCAATTCCAACGTCACTACCAATTTATTTTGGAGGTAATTTTATGGGAGCAATGTCAGAACTAGAGACTGCCATGTCACCACTTTGATTCCTCCTTGGAAGACCAAGCATCCTCTCCTATAGTGACCAACTTATTTTTACAGTTACCAAAACAAAGAGCAATCTTCCTCCATCGTGTTCAGAGGGTGCCTACAAGTACAAATATCATCAAAATGTAAATGCTGTTAATCTTATCTCAAACTGTACAAGCCTGCTTGATAACAACAGAAACGGAATTAAAGCATGTGTTCACAACTCTGGTTTCAGCATCTGCTGCTCAGTGAAGATTGGAGTCACAAATGCCATCTCTGTGCTTGAAAAACAAGCTCTCATTTTACATATTACTACAAAATTGGCAGTTTCACTGCCAACAGTTTTCACTGTGCAGAATTACACAAGAAGTCAGACACCCACTAGCTGAATATTACTGAAGTGAAAACAACAAAGCCTCCCCCCAATCTCATTTGATTCAAAAAAGGGGAAAAAAATATCTGAGACCCAGAAGGAAAAGCACTTTTACATACAAGAACACGTGAAGAGATGGAAAGAAACAAAACTTCTTTACTGAAGAAGCTTTTCAAATATCCTTCTGCTTTTTGAGATTAGATTCCCTAATGGCAGCATTTAAAAATTAGTATTTGATAATGACTGCCTTATAGTCATTTACTAGCTCAGTACCTAGAAGCAGAAGAAAAACTAGAAATAAAGATGCACTTTAGGACAGATTATTTCAAGCAGTAAAACACTGTCTAGCAAACTGGTACTAGGGAAAGTACCAGTAACTCAAAGAAAAAACTTCCTGGACTGCTCCACTAAGTACAGCAGAAGATGAAAGTGGTTTTCTAGCTGCTCTGCAGGAACCAACAACTACCAAGCTGTCAGTAAACAGCCTGTGGTTACACAGTTGCTAAAGAAAACATCAGGTGAGCGTGCAGGGAAGACACAGGAAGGCTTTTGGCAGTAGACCACCAACACTAGATTGAATACAACGTAAAACAGAAGGTAAGGGTATTTTAAGTGCACGGAACACTCCCCTCCACAGCAGCTGTGTTCCTACTCCTTTCCCTTGCACTGGTGGCTGAGAAAATCCAGTCAAGACACTGGTGCTTTTGTTCCCCTCCCACCACCAGATTAATTACCTGATCCAGTTTAATGTGCAGTCACACTGGCACTAGTGGTGGCACAACAACTATGTTTAGAGCAGAAAAGGGCAACAGCACAGCTTATAATAATAGAGGGCTCTGGAATACACCTCAAGTGTCCAAGTGCAACAAGCCCATGCCTGAAGAGTTAGAAGTGCAGTCAGCAATGCAGATTTCTTCAGTTCTCATGGAAATCTCATCCTACCACCACAAGAATCAATCAACAAACTCTGAAACATAAGACAGTTCAACAGTATAAGAATAGAGTTGTTACTGAATAGAAAGACTATTGTGTTTCGACCAAGATCTTCCTGTAATGAGTCTTTCACTGTACGAAGTGATCAGTTCTGGATTCCCCTGCACACTGTCCTGGGGGACAGAAAGAGTAAACACATTGGAACAGAAGCTTTAAATACACTTTGCTCTATATGGATTATTTTGTATGGCTCACTGCCTCCTTCCCAGCTCCTGAATGCAAGACTCCCACCTTCATCATTCCTCCTCAAGACGAGTTTACCCAAACCACGTTTACCTTGCTAGTTAGCTTTCTGAGGTGTGCCACATAATACACACATATCTCCTGGCAACACAGCACGGCTGTTTAAAGTGATCCTACCAAGTGAGTTTACACTGAACCAGCACTTTGTATCGTGAAGCCACAACATTTAAAACTTGAGAGAAGCAGCTTTAAAGTCAGAGTTATTGGATTGCATTTTGATGATAAAACTAATGTTTTTTCTTTCTACATTTTAGGTTTCCACCAAGTTCTCCAATTACTATGGGAGGCCCTATACAATTAAGGGCCGAAGCACCATAGATGTACTTCTGTGAGGTGAAGCTGTGAATTCAGCCACTGACACAGATTAACACGCATGCCATGTTACATACAGAGTCTGATTTAAGTAGTTCTTAGCATTTTTATTTTGGCAACAACCAGATGGTAACTACTGCAGTATCGCCCTGTGGTTCCACAGAAGCAAGTAATAACTTGAAAACCATGCCTCACAAAACCATGACAAAGCATTTAAAGAAAACTGCATACACATAAAGCTAACAAGAAACCAAAACTGAACTCCAAACGTTCTTTGTTGTTTTTCAAAGGAACATAAAAAAAAAGGTCAAACATAGGGTACTGTAAATGACAAACAGAAGCATGGATAGTCAATAAATAAGTGGTAAACTGTGAGTTTGTTTTTTTTTAATTAACCAACCACTTATTGAGGTTGGTTTGTATGTTGTTTACTTCCCAGTCTAGCAAAGAGACAAACACAGCCTGAATCACGGTGACATCTTCCCTCAAATTCCAGACATTAGTGAAAAAAATATAGGAAAAAAAAAATAATCACAAAAACATAGAATTAAAGCCTCAAAAAAATCAATATTTAACCCAACTGTTCACGTTCTGCGAGAGACTCTTACTAACACCACAGCAGCACACCTATTCTCGGTTAGTAGCAAAGAGACAAACACAGCCTGAATCACGGTGACATCTTCCCTCAAATTCCAGACATTAGTGAAAAAAATATAGGAAAAAAAAAATAATCACAAAAACATAGAATTAAAGCCTCAAAAAAATCAATATTTAACCCAACTGTTCACGTTCTGCGAGAGACTCTTACTAACACCACAGCAGCACACCTATTCTCGGTTAGCCCATTGGATACCATCGTTAACCACAGTGCTGCAGAGACGCTCTGGAAACCAAGCCCTCGCTGCTCCGGCCTCACACCGCGGCAAAGGTGCCGGGCGCTTCGGGGAGAGCAGATGACCCCCGAGCTTTCCGGGGAACACCCAGCCCCACGGACGAGC